CAAATAATGAACACAAATATTTTAATATTACAAACAAAACATTATCAATTTAACATTAAATATATATATTTTTTTTTTTATGACCTCCCGCGGCCCCCCTGCAGTACCCTCGCGGCCCACCAGGGGGCCGCGGACCCCACTTTGGGAGACACTGTTCTACACCTGTTCTGAGGTACGTCTGAGAGCAACCTGTTTTGGTGCTGTCTCTTTAAATGCAAATGAGGCGCTTTTGACCACACCCCCATCCAGGTGACACAGGTTCAACTCCACCCCGAGCGGCCATTTTTGTAGTTTCTAAGCACAGATACAATTATCTCATAGAAACTTCTCATTACATCGCAAACATGAAGCAGGCCTTCCTCATTGACTGAAAGCAAATGTTAATTTTCATTCTTAGTCCAGTCTTATTATCGACTCTTCCCTTTTTAGCTTTGGGATCCATGCGCACAGTCAAGGCAAGGAAAGGAAAGTTATTTATATATAGCACAATTCATACACAAGGCAATTCAATGCTGAACAAAATATGAAAGCATTAAAATCATAAATAATCACAGAACATTAAAAAGAAAGATAAAAAATATAAAATCCCTCAGTTGTATGGAGAGACTTGTACACAAGCAGAGCTCACATGCCGGTTTGTTTACAACAGCGGCCGCCTGGCGCGGGCCTACGTCGCAAGATAAGACGCACTACGTTGACAGAAATGTTTAAATTGAATATTACTTATGCACAATTTTACAGCATTTAAAAACGTTAAGAACGTTTTTCCTTCTACAGAAGGAAAAAGACGCATGCACCTCCGGAGCCGCAGGTTGCCGACTCCTAGTTTATACAGTATGTGGAAGCAAATACTGTAGAGGATCAGGATATGTTCAGTTTCAACAATAAAATAAAATGCAATAGTCTACATTACAAGAGAGTAATAAACATGTCTCAGAGTGAGAGGTGGACACAGACAACACTATTGTTTGTTACAGGGATGAGAATTGGTCAAAAAAGACTGAAATGCATATTGTCAGCCATTTGCTGGCTCTAAATCTGTTTAATTTGTTCACAACATATTACTTTTGGGCTCAAACATGAACTTTTAATGCAATGCAAAATTTAGGTATCAGAGCTTTATGTAGGGCGTTTATTCGCGCTTCGAGAGGAGAGGGGAGACGTGGACTGTTTCTTGCAGCAGTGTATTTATTGGGTGCACAGATTACTCAAAGACACGCATGGTCCTGTGCGCGTTTATGGGGTTGGGTACATGGCCACGTTGAGGCTGCGCGCTCAGCCACAACACGGTGGAGCGGCTGCGAGCGGCTGCGAGCGGCTGCGAGCGGCTGCGAGCGGCTGGACGCTCACAGCCTCTCGCAGCCGCTGGACGCGGAAGCTGCTTATTACAAAGCGGCCGCAGATGCCCCGGAACACTGCGGCCGCTGAGGTGGCGGAATCCCGTTCGAGTACATACAGCAGGTGCCCCGCGGATACGGGCGCCCCGCTCGAACAATTCTCAACGGATTCACACTTCTCATAAACATGTGTTTTGTATGAGGCAGACAGACCGGCCCAAATATGGGCATCGGCCCTTTGGGCATTGCCCGGTACGCCCGATGGCCAGTCCAGCCCTGTTCGCTGGCATCCTTGAGCTTGGACTACAAATTCGAAGTGATGCACAGTAGAGGAGGGCTGGGCCGAAGTGTTTTGTTAGACGCCCATGCCCTTATATAGCAGTCCCGCTGCAAATACTGTGACGTAATAATTCTAAACACGTAATAGAGAATGGCAAAATCAGAACGGGTTGAAAAATCTTACCTAAACAGAATATGAAGTGTTCTCTGCAACCCATGAAGAGACTGATTTCAACTTGTTTGCACTTCTAGAGACTCCAACTACACAACATAAGGCATTTAAGACACAAAAAGTGGATTTTTCATGATATGTCCCCTTTAAACAAGCTTAAAAACTCACTGCTGTGACATCTTTCTCTAACAAGATCATGACGTATCTTAAAACTAGTATAATAATCTTACAGGACAAACTACTTTCAAGCCAAAAAAAACTTGCCATTAATAAAATAAGCCTAATTTATGTTATTTTTAGTGAATATATTTGACCAAGAATGAACTTTTTTCAGTGAAATGAGAGTGTATATTTATTGGGAGCGCTGTTGGACTTTTGGGGGGTGTGATGTCACATGGGATGAAATATGTCTTTACTTCAATATCTATTGTGGCGTCCATTTTGACTCGGCCCCGGCTGCAGCGTCTCCTTAAATAACTCATGTCAATATATTTGATGACCTTCAGAGGATATGAAGTTTGTGACGGGAAAGTCAGAGTGAGCTTTTTAGATGCTGTCAAAAAAGTAAAAAGTCAGGTTCAGTTTATTTTCCATTTGCAGTAAAACCACATTGGAATACATGCGCAAAAGTACAGAAATAACCAAGGTTAAAAGTAAAGGAGAAAAACAATGTCACTGCTTCCTGTTTGGTTTGTTTACAAGTGGGGCCAGAACACAATCTCTGGTCTCTCTCTGGTCTCTCTCTGGTCTCTCTCTGATCTCTCTCTGATCTCTCTCTGATCTCTCTCTGGTCTCTCTCTGATCTCTCTCTAGTCTCTCTCTAGTCTCTCTCTGGTCTCTCTCTCTCTGGTCTCTCTCTGGTCTCTCTCTGATCTCTCTCTAGTCTCTCTCTAGTCTCTCTCTCTAGTCTCTCTCTCTGGTCTCTCTCTCTCTGGTCTCTCTCTCTGGTCTCTCTCTCTGCTCTCTTTCTGCTCTCTCTCTCTCTGCTTTCTCTCTGCTCTCTCTCTGCTCTCTCTCTCTGCTCTCTCTCTGCTCTCTCTCTGCTCTCTCTCTCTGCTCTCTCTCTGCTCTCTCTCTCTGGTCTCTCTCTCTGCTCTCTCTCTCTGCTCTCTCTCTCTGCTGGTCTCTCTCTCTGGTCTCTCTCTCTGGTCTCTCTCTCTGGTCTCTCTCTCTGGTCTCTCTCTCTGCTCTCTCTCTCTGTGCTCTCTCTCTGCGCTCTCTCTCTGCTCTCTCTCTCTGCTCTCTCTCTCTGCTCTCTCTCTCTGCTCTCTTTCTGCTCTCTATCTCTGCTCTCTCAAATGCTCTCTCTCTCTGCTCTCGCTCTCTGCTCTCTCTCTCTGCTTTCTCTCTGCTCTTTCTCTGCTCTCTCTCTCTGCTCTCTCTCTCTCTGCTCTCTCTCTGCTCTCTCTTTCTGGTCTCTCTCTCTGCTCTCTCTCTCTGGTCTCTCTCTCTGGTCTCTCTCTCTGGTCTCTCTCTCTCTCTGCTCTCTCTCTCTGCTCTCTCTCTCTGCGCTCTCTCTCTGCGCTCTCTCTCTGCGCTCTCTCTCTGCGCTCTCTCTGCTCTCTCTCTCTGCTCTCTCAAATGCTCTAGCTCTCTGCTCTCTCTGCGCTCTCTCTCTGCTCTCTCTCTGCTCTCTCTCTCTGCTCTCTCTCTCTGCTCTCTCAAATGCTCTAGCTCTCTGCTCTCTCTCTCTGCTCTCTCTCTGCTCTCTCAAATGCTCTAGCTCTCTGCTCTCTCTCTGCTCTCTCTCTGCTCTCTGAAATGCTCGCTCTCTCTGCTCTCTCGCTGCTCTCTCGCTGCTCTCTCTGCTCTCTCGCTGCTCTCTCGCTGCTCTCTCGCTGGTCTCTCGCTGCTCTCTCGCCTCTCTCTCGCTGCTCTCTCGCTGCTCTCTCGCTGCTCTCTCTCTGGTCTCTCTCTGGTCTCTCGCTGCTCTCTCGCTAGCCTCTCGCTGCTCTCTCGCTGCTCTCTTGCTGCTCTCTCTCTGGCCTCTCGCTGCTCTCTCGCTGCTCTCTCGCTGCTCTCTCGCTGCTCTCTCTCTCTCTCTCTGGTCTCTCTCTGGTCTCTCTCTGGTCTCTCTGGTCTCTCTCTGCTCTCTCGCTGCTCTCTCGCTGCTCTCTCTCTGGTCTCTCTCTGGTCTCTCTGGTCTCTCTCTGCTCTCTCGCTGCTCTCTCGCTGCTCTCTCTCTGGTCTCTCTGGTCTCTCTGGTCTCTCTCTGGTCTCTCTCTGCTCTCTCGCTGCTCTCTCTCTGGTCTCTCGCTGGTCTCTCTCTGCTCTCTCTCTCTCTGCTCTCTCGCTGGTCTTCTTTCTTTGTCTGTGATGTCACCAAACCACAGTCACAGAACCAACAAACAAACTTTAATGCTGCAGTGATAAAAGTGAAGCATTGTCTTCGAGTTTGTGGTAAATTCTCTAAGCTTCCACATAAAGTAGAGACACCATTCCATTCCATTCCATTCCATTCCAAACCCAATGAAAATATTTAGATGAGTTTTTTTCTCATTTGAAAACTACAAAAACATGTATAACCATGTTTGGTACAGTGTCTAACAACAGCGGGTTGGATCACTGGGCCTTCCCCTGTCTGGATGGGTTTCCTCCGAGCGCTCCGGTTCCGCCCATCACCCAAAACATGCATCATTGCTCAAATCCTTTTTTTCTCCTGTTTTTTTTTCTCCCGGTGCAGGTTTTTGTGCCAAACTTTTACAAATAACTTACATCTTGGTATTATCTTTTAACAGCGTCAGGCAAGGGTTTAGAAAAAGTAGTATTTTTATTCACAATCTTATACAGTATAGAGCCCCTTGATTCACAAATAAAACCAGACAATGCGCAGACCAATTGTTAGCCGGTTTATTTTCTTCTTGGTAAAGGCAAACAAGGACACAGACGTTGACAGATTTAATAACGCCTCACCTCTTCTCATAACAAGATTGCTTAACGCCTTGTTGTTCTCGTGCACACTCCATATTTGAATAGCTGTTATATTAGCATGCCGTTCCCCTCTCCATTTTGGCACAATTCTTTGGTAATCACAGGTTTTCCACGCTCCAGCCCTGCTCCTGTGCTAAGAGCTCCTGAGAGGCACCTCCGCCTAAAGTGCCATTTCCACCAGACGGTAATGCCGACGGGTGCGCGGCCTGATTGGAGGTGATTACACATCTGGAAGTGGCGGACAACCTGGGACCAAACCAGATTTTGAAATGGAACCTCTTATGAAATGTGTCTTCACCCAATGTGCTGTGGACTGTAATGGTGTGGTGAGCAGGACTAAAGCAGATGTGGTCGGAGGGGGAGGGTTCGGGGGTTGGGGGGGGGGGGTTGCCGGGCGGGTTAAAGGTACTTGTGATGTGTTGCCCTGGACAACTGTTCTCTGGATGTGCTCCCAGAACGCTGCATGTTTTCTCGCTCGGAAGCTCAGTGGTGCCCAAACCTTTCAGTAAGAGGGCCACTTTAGTTCATCAGGCCGACAACCTGGGTTTAAAACCTGGACTTGAGCTGCGAGCTGGATCGACTGGATTCTGGAATCTAAAATGGATTATGATACGTCCTTATTGATTCACAGCTGCATTTTATTTGTAATGTTGTGACACAATCATAAAAAAAAAGTCAGTAAATAACAAAGTCAACGATTGGTTTCCAGAGGGTCTGAAATTCATCACAAGGTTTAGCATGACTGTGGAGCTGAAGTTGGTTGGATGACACTGTCAAAGTGCCTCAATGGCAACAGAGGGCCACATAAAATCACCTACAGGGCCACAACTGGCCCGCGGGCCTGAGTTTGGAAATGCCTGCTCCAGGATCTTCTGCTGCTGACCACTCGTCTGTTTAATTACACATATCTGAGACAGAAGGGGCGGAGTTACATATGTGTCCAAGCTCAAATAAGTCAGAGCTGTTTAAAGTCTATTCTCTGAGTCACAGGTGCAGAGACCTGAGACCAGGACTAATGTGATGGTACTTCCTGGTTCTAGTCAGGACTAATGTGATGGTACTTCCTGGTTCTATTCAGGACTCGAGCTGTGGAGTTCTGAACATACTGCAGCTGTTTAGATTAGATTAGATTCAACTTTGTCAATACAAAGTCAAACTTGATGAAGGAATCAGTGAGGGACACTGGTCTGCAGTCGTGAGTGAAGAGGGAGAAGAGACTGGGGGTTAGAACACGGCCCTGTGGGACTCCGGTGTTGGTGTGGACCGTGGTGGAACTGCAGTTGTCCAATGGAACGTTCTGGTCTGTTTGTGAGGAAGTCCATGATCCAGTGACACAGAGCTGGATGGAGGCTGAGGTCATGCAGGTTGTTGATCAGTCTGATGGAATGATGGAGTTAAATGACAAACAAACAGCATCCTGGGATATGTGTCGTTATTATCCAGATCAGAACATTGTGAAGGGCCGGGGAGATGGCGTCCTCTGTGCTCCTGTTGTTACAGCAGGAAAACTGATGAGGCTCCAGGCCTGATTGAACAGAAGCCGCTCAAAGCACTTCATCACAAGTGGAGTCAGCGCGACGGGACGACAGTCCATGAGTGTAGTCAGACTTTGATGTTTTGGTTTTACAGCCTGTTGGAGAGACCTGTGAGCGGCTGTTACAGTCGTCTGACCTCCAACTGCTGCTGCTGCACAGTATCTGTACTACAGTATCTGTACTACAAACTACTGTACAGTATCTGTACTACAAACTACTGTACAGTATCTGTACTACAAACTACTGTACAGTATCTGTACTACAAACTCCCAAAACCACATACACTTTATGAAGCGTGTGTTTTACCCTCTACATGTCATTAAACATTGATGTCACATGTCATTAAACATTGATGTCACATGTCTTTGCTGATTAGCATGTAGTGAAAAATGCTGCTGAAGTCCCTGTTTAACTTTTCAGAGAATAAACACATAACCCAGGGTTACAAAAAACTGTCAATCAAAGTTTCATTTAGAAATATCACGTATGAACAGAAGCCTAAAATGGATCTGTTCTGCCCCAGAGCCCCCGAGTACGAGACAAACACAGACAAGAGCGTTTAGAATAGTATTTACATCAGGGTGTTATTTGACTACTGCTTTTCTCCCTTATAGCCCAGAGATGAAGTATTCAGAGTACTTCTAACTGCAGCAGATGTCGTGCTACTACAGTGGCATCGTGTTAGCACAACTTTCAAAAAGAAGAGCAGAAGCCACAACACTGAGGATTTAACAGCCGCAAAATGGTGGTAATGAGAAGGAGCACGAGGCCACACGCAGGAGTAAATAATATATTCTTAGAGCTTACAACGAGCTTTGCCTTGATCCTTAGCCCTCAACTGTGCACTGTCATCTTTTCTAAGTATGGTTTGTTTTCCTTTGAAATACAAACAAGGCTGAAAAGTTTTCCCTCAAGAGAATTTCACCAAAGGAATAAACAACCTGTAGACTGAAAGTAGACACGGAAAACTGTTAAATCTTGGTCATTTCATTTACTAGAAATAATATTAATGAGGCTGAGGAGCAAGACCACTCAGACGCCGAGCCGAGGATTACCTGATGAAATACAGAGGATAGTATTCTATAAAGTATACATTATATACTCTGTTGGTAGAGCATTGGCCTTTGAGCCAGAAGGTCGTGGGTTCGAGACCACCACAAGACTTTCTCCACCGACTCCCACTGCTGTCGTTGTGTCCTTGGGCAAGACACTTAACCTCTGGAAACACCTGATGCCACAGTGGGACGGCTGCGGCTGTAAAGTGCCAAACTGTGGTTGTGTCCTTAGGCAAGACACTTCACCCCCATTGCCTAGAATGAGTCTGGTGTGTGAGTGGTTGGTGGTGGTCGGAGGGGCTGATGGCGCAGACTGGTTGCCTCGCTTCTGTCAGTGTGCCCCAGGGCAGCTGTGGCTACAGTAGTAGTTAATCACCACCGTGTTTGGAGTGACAGAATGACATGTGAAGCGTCTTTGAGTGTCCAAAAAAGCGCTGTATAAAACCGATGCATTATTATTATTATAACACAAAACATTGTAAGTTGTCTCCAAGTTGAGCTCTCTCTCGTCTCCTTCCATTTCACATCAAACCAATTCTTTTATTTACAAAACTTCATAGTCACACAAGTTATACGCAGTGTATTTGTGAAGTTACCAAGCTCTGCACACACACAATGTTACACGGCGTCAAAGTATAAACATTTCTTCTTTACAATACATTTCAAGACATGGTTTGTCGAGAAGTCGAAGGGTAACACTTTTTATGATGAGAAATGTGCTGCCGTGGCCCAAACGTGAGACTAATGCGCCTCATGGAGCAGAGAGTGAAAAGAGAAGAGAGGAAGAAGAGGGTGCATTTGCATTGATGTAATCTGCCGATCACAGCAGAAGAGGCCTGGGATTCACGCTTTGAATGGGGAAGTTTAGAAACGCATTTGCCACAGGTAGAAAACTTCCAAATTCACATGACAGGGGAAAAATCTAGGCCAGTGTTGCTTTTCTCCCAAATCTTTTTTTTCGCTTTTAATCGCGCAAAACTCAGAGCTGTCAGAAATGTACAATGGAAATAGTGCGGGTGATTAAAGGATCCTGCATCCAGTCTGGGTTCACGATGAGACGTGTCCGGAGGCGAGAGGGGTATGCAAAGAGAAAGACGGAGGAGAAATATGGAGGACTTTTGTTTTAAATTTGGGGAAGAATGATACATGTACGTGTTTTAAGTAGTTGTTTTTACCTCAATCTCGAATGAACCTGTTTTGAGTTAGCAGAGTGGCTATGCTAATCCTAATGATAAATATTGTAATTTACCTCAAACCGTCTTCCAATTCAATCTGATCCACTTTAATAAACATTTTAGTAAAAAAGTTTCCAAAGTGCTGCACAGAAACACGCAGGTATTTCTGTGCATCATGTAAAAATATTAATGTAATAAAAACAATGAAATACCAGTTAACAATGAAAATGTGATGAATACATTAAAATACTACTGATTTAAAAATAAAAACTCAAAACATGAATGGTCGATGAGCGTTAAAGGTATTCTACTTCCGGGTGGATCATCAAGACTATTGGTCAATTGTCAATCATTCTATATACAGTACCTTTAACACCCAATCAAGTCTTGCACCATGGCATGTTATATCTCATGTTAAAGCTTTTTCTCAGATTCCTTTATTTGCCAATTGCAGTATAACCACATTGGAATACATTCGCAAAAATCCCAGTACAGAAATAAACAAGGTTAAAGTAAAGTAATGAAGCAGGGTTAAAGGTACAGAACTAAAACAACCATCTCCCCCGGGTCTCTCCCCTTCCACTGGGCCCTCTCCCCTACTGGGTGTCTCCCCTCCCTCCAGGCCCTCTCCACCCTGGGTCACTCTTCTCCTCCCGGGTCGCTCCCCTCCCTCTGGGCCCTCTCCCCCCTGGGTCACTCCCCTCCCTTTGGGCCCTCTCCCCCCTGGGTCGCTCCCCTCCCTCTGGGCCCTCTTCACCCAAGGTCACTCCTCTCCTCCCGGGTCGCTCCCCTCCCTCTGGGCCCTCTCCCCCCTGGGTCGCTCCCCTCCCTCTGGGCCCTCTCCACCCTGGGTCACTCCCCTCCCTTTGGGCCCTCTCCACCCTGGGTCGCTCCCCTCCCTTTGGGCCCTCTCCACCCTGGGTCGCTCCCCTCCCTCTGGGCCCTCTCCACCCTGGGTCGCTCCCCTCCCTCTGGGCCCTCTTCACCCTGGGTCGCTCCCCTCCCTCTGGGCCCTCTTCACCCTGGGTCGCTCCCCTCCCTCTGGGCCCTCTTCACCCTGGGTCGCTCCCCTCCCTCTGGGCCCTCTTCACCCTGGGTCGCTCCCCTCCCTCTGGGCCCTCTCCACCCTGGGTCGCTCTCCTCCCTCTGGGCCCTCTCTACCCTGGGTCGCTCCCCTCCCTGTGGGACCTCTCCCTCGGGGTCACTCCCCTCCCCTCTGGGCCCTCTCCCTCGGGGTCACTCCCCTCCCTCTGGGCCCTCTCCACCCTGGGTCGCTCTCCTCCCTCTGGGCCCTCTCTACCCTGGGTCGCTCCCCCTCCCTCTGGGACCTCTCCCTCGGGGTCACTCCCCTCCCCTCTGGGCCCTCTCCACCCTGGGTCACTCCCCTCCCTCTGGGCCCTCTCCCCCGGGTCGCTCCCCTCCCTCTGGGTCACATCCCCAGGAGATCGCAGCTGTAAGTCCACCTGCTCAGGGAAGAGAGGCGGGATTCTCCGTCAATAAGACCAGGCCAGAGTCAACTGTGAGACATGGCTTTAACTCAATCAATACCTCCAGGCTAGGATTTAAAAAAATAATGAAAAATGAATATATAAAAAGTAGTAGTAGTAGTATTTTTTACAATCAATATTTTAGAGATACATATATAATTCACAAAACAAAGCTCAAAATAATAAGGTGGAAGTGAACAGCCTATAGGCGCCTTCCTCATTATCGATACTACATTTAAGGGACCGCAAAATCTCGAAAATACAAACAAAACAGCAAGCTAATAATTCATTTTCCATATTTCATCGTTTTAAATATGTACTCTTTTCATTTTCTCTATATGATATGTAACGTGGCTGTCATAATAACTCTCTCCTCTGATATTAACCGACACCGGGCACAATACAAGTGACTCTCAGCCGGAAGCCTCTCAGGTACAGTTGACTTTTACGCTGGAAAATAGACTGTCTCTTATTGTCACACAAAAAGCTCTTCTATAGGAGCCGTATATATATATCCATAGAAATAATACTATCTGTGGAGACCGGGAGCTCAAAGACTTATTTACATTTGAAACAGACTAGCACAGCGGCAGAAATGGCAGCAAGACATCCAGACACAGACGAGTCAAGAAATAACACTGTATTCTCCTTCAGCAGACAACAAGCTGCAGCCATCACCCACAATGCACTGCTCCAACTCTGCTCTGCCTCCATTTTGCTCTAACCCTGAATCAGCGACGTCCACGGAAAGGCGACTTTGAAAATGTCATATTAAAACGACAGTAAGTTTCACTCCGTAAGAACACAGTCTTTCTTTTTACTGCAACTTTTTAACTTTAAAGGAAAGACAAAGACGACTGGATGTCTTGCACTTGGGCCACTGTGACCGAGCTGGTGTATTCATTGACTTCTCTTCTTAACATTTAACCTTTGGTGTGGTTGGGTGGTGCCTGATCATTTGGCTTGCAAAAACTTTATTGACCAAATAAGCTGTGGCTGTACTTATATGCAAAAACCAGACCCTGCCAGACCCCTGAAGCTGTGCAGGGCAGGGCCTGGTTAGTGCTGTGATGGGAGACCTCTGGGAACAGCAGGTGCCACAGTGGGGGAAGTGTCTTTAGGCAAGACACTTCCCCACATTAGAATGAGTCTAGTGTGTGTGTGTGTGAATGGTTGGTGGTAGTGGGAGGGGCTGATGGCACATACTGGTTGCCTCGCTTCTGTCAGTGTGCCCCAGGCCAGATGTGGCTACAGTAGTAGTCAGTGATTACTAACGCCGTTACTTTTTTCAGTAACGAGTAATCTAACTAATTACTTTGACTGTAACTATAACGCCGTTATCATTTCCGACATCCCGTTACTGCGCGTTACTCAAGACGCACAACGAACTTCTCTTTTTACTTTGTGATAGGACTCGTGCGCGTGTTGTCATGAGAGAAGGATTATATATCAGCAATAATTGGCTGATGTAAAACATATTTCCTTTACAATCTACATGTCTACAGTTGAGAGGATGCTCATAAATTGTGTTTTTGAAACAAATGGGTCTTAATCACACTCTACCACGGCTTGTATCACCGTGAGGCCTCAGAGGAGCTCATGTGAGCGCAGAAGGCTGCATACAATTCCATCGATAAGCTCCTTTCTCTTCCTGGTTTATCTGCTAAGGACAGCAACAGGTTTGGCTAACATACATATAACACATTTTTACATAATCTAAAATGTACATAGGGTAATTTTTCAATGACTATAGGAATGATAAGAAAGAGAGGTGAAGTGTAAGACGGTTGATTTTAGAAATTGGATGCAGCCGGCTGCAGCAAAACAGGAGTTTATGGACGAGACACGCGTTTTGTTTTCCATCCATCCATCCATTTTCTACCCTTTAATCCATTTCTGGGTCAGGGGGGTGGCAGTCAGAGATGCCACCCTAGTCTCATAGCACCAGCCCCTCACTGACCCTCTGCAGGTGGTGAGTCCACAGGAGGACGGCTGCTCTGAGTGTGAGCATAGCCTTGATCTTTCAGTGGGGGCTTTGGGCAAAGTGGGGTTAAGTGTCTTGCCCAAGGACACAACGACAGCAGTCATCAGTGGGAGTCGGTGGAGAAGGTGCAGAGGTGGGAATTTAACCCACGACCTTCTGGGCGTTTTGTTTTACTTTTTAAAACTCATTGGACTCATTTCCAAATGGAGGATTACATATCTACGCTCAAACTATTATCTGGACTTAAACAAGGAACTGGTCTGAACCGAAGTGGACTGTGCAGGTCATTTATAAAGTAAGACCCATAACTCATAGTTTTGAGTTTTGTATAAACAAACAATGCATGAAACATATTTTGCTGTAGCCAAACAAATTGTCCACTTGATTTATATGATGTATATGTTCATCTGATTGGACTGAAGTCAGTGCTTCACCGGTGTTTCCACATTCACAGTGGAGCGTGTTGTGTTTAGTGCTTACACAGAGACAGATGAAGAGTGAACAGGACTTCAGCAGCAAAACAGTCTTTTCTAGATGGAAATATTGGCAATATTTAAACTCACTGAGGTTAAAGGTAAAAATGCGCACGTCGGGTGCACATTATGTTCCAGAACAAAACGAAAAAGTGACGCAATAGTTACTTTTACTGGTAACTAGTTACTTTTATAGTGGAGTAACTCCGTTAGTAACTCTTTGGGAGAAGTAACTAGTAACTATAACAAATTACTTTTTCAAAGGAACGTGCCCAACACTGGTAGTAGTTTATAACCACCATGTTTGGAGTGAAATGACAATGACATGTGAAGCGTCTTTGAGTGTCCAGAAAAGCGCTGTATAATAAAACCAATAACAACAACAACAATTTATTCTTGTATAGCCCTAAATCACAACAGTATCATCTCAGAGACTTAACAAAAGCACAGATCAGAGAATCAACAGTTGAAACACAAAATATACACATATGATTGGTCCATAGGGAGAGACCAATGTCCATGAATGTTGATAAGTGTCATACATGTTGTAGAATGTTAAGTGTCCTGGATCATCACAGTCCTTCTAGTTGGACACTGACTGCCCAACAAAAAACAATGCATCATAATTAATATATTGTTAAAAAAAAATTTGCAATAAACTATAATTTTGAATAGATTATGGCAAGATGATCATGCTAACTCTAATTTGACGATTATAATGACATTGTTTATCAATTATAAAGTGCTTTGTTTGACCCTGGTCTGGGAACCATTCTATATAAATGAATAAAAGTGAATCATTATTGTTAAAAATGGCAGGTATAAGTCCAACGCTGTATTCAGTAAGTGCAACATTGCCCTGAACTTTCTACTAAACCTCGGCCATGTCGTGTCCTCTGCACCAGTCTGTGCAGGGACTGGTCTCTGTCCGGTCCCGGGTCGGTCCGCTCGGCTCTGGCCTGGTCTGACCCTCTCCCTCCAGCCGTGGTCACTGCAGGCCGAGGCTGATGGGGCGCTCCCAGCTGCTGCTCCTGGGACAGCTGCCAGATGTAATGGTACAATACGGTGCCGGAGTTTGAGGGGAGACAAAGGCAAGAAGTTTTTCTCCTTTTAATGGCACATAAAGACTCAAGGACAAAACTTCAGCGGTGAGAATGTGCAGTATGTCACGGAGACGCTGCCACTTTCTGTTTTTTTACAATCACACTTTTCTACTATAGTAACTTTGGTACTTTTATCTCTTGAAGTAAATAGTAAATTGTCACATTTATATAGAGCTTTTCTACCTTCAAGGCACTCAACAGATCATTTATATTAATTCAAGCAGTATATTTTTTTTTTCAAGTGGTTTTTTCCAGTGATATTTTTAGTGTTATGACAAACTGTAAATGACAAAATGAAAAACTTAATTGTTTGACCTTTTGTACTGTTTCAAAAGCTGCAGCCATGTATGGAAGTAATGTTTATTTATATAGCACATGTTACAGACCAAGGTACAGACCCAAAGCGCTTTACAATGTTCAGAGTCAGATATTGTTCCAATCCTTCCACACACGGTGATGACGGAAGCGAGTCCAGAACACACTGGACCATCAGCTCCAACACCATCCATTCACTCTCTCATTTACATTCAGACCTATCGTACATGCTTTTTAGTGGCAAGGGAAACCGGAGCACCCGGAGGAAACCTACGCAGACACGCGGAGAACATGCAAACTCCACTCAGAAAGGCCCTGTTCCGACCGGGATTCGAACGCTGGACCTTCTTGCTGAGAAGCGAGAGTGCTTTCCAGTCAGCCACTGTGCAGGTAAAACAAACGCTATTGTAGTATTTGGAGTCATATAACAAAAGCACATCATCATCATCATCATCACCACCACCACCATCATCATCACCATCATCATCATCATACCAACGGTTCAGCAAGGTGGAAGAAACGTGCAGCGCCTGATTGCCCCAGCAGGCTCCCATCCCAGCACTAACCAGGCCAAACATTGCTTTTCAGATCAGACATCCAATTTGCCATCCATTATTGACGCAATTTTCTATTCCGATTATCATTACAGACACTTGCGGAATGTAGCTGTAAAAAAAAAAAAAAAAAAAAAACATTTCCACTTTTCATTTCGTCCTTCACATCAGACTCTCGTTTTACTGGAGGCAGCTGCTTCAATAGATGTTTATTTTATTGAATCATTCCGGGTCAACGTGCTGCTACTAGAACTGTCCCCACTGAGCTCCGGTCTTTGAAATGATAATCTTCTCGAGTGAAATGGAATAAACACACTTGTACGTTACCTGAGATTGGATTGTGTGAAGCTCTCAGCAACAAGGTTATACTGACTTTAAAGAAGCTGAATGTATATTTTCCTCTGCCTATTACATGTGTGCCCAGACAACAGGTCAGACGGCATGAGATTACTTTGTTGATCTCACAATGGAGGTTCTCACATGTCACATTTGGAATAGATAGGATCAGTCTGGATGTGCAAAAGACAGGAAGTGTGCAAATACGTTGAATATATGAAAAGACAGTGTTTTGGGGCAAGATATGTGGTGTAGAATTAAGTTAAAAGTGACTATGGCAGTGCGAGTCCATACCAAGCAGATTATCCAATCAGAGATCAGAATGAGTTTCTTTAAAAAAAAAAAAAAAAAAAAAACACCACATATTTGCATATTTGAAAGAAAGCCTAAACAAAAGTAAATATTCATTCATTCATGTTCTACCCCATTTTTAGTTCATTTCTGGGTCCGGGGGGGGGGGAGGGGCTGCCCTGGTGTTTCAGCGGGTGCTTCAGGCCAAGTGGGGTTAAGTGTCTTGCCCAGGGACACATCGACAGCAGACATCTGTGGGAGCAGGTCTTGTCTGGGAGGATCGTACCCATGACCTTCAGGCTCAAAGGCGCTGCCACTGTCGCCCCCGGTCACAAAAGTAAATAGTCTGACATAATACACAGAGTTTGTATCATTTCTAGTTAAACCCCAGTAGGTGGATTGCATCAATAACCAGCGCTGAGGAGTCACAGATGGACTGTTGGATTGGAATTGTTTTGTCTTTATCAAACAACTTACTATATATATTACGCACTGTCTCTTTAAATATGTAAATGATCTATTACACTTTTGCTGATGATCCAGGACCCAACATTCAACAACATTTATGAACTTTATCGACAAATACAACAAACATCTGCCTCTTATGGACCAATCGTTCTGTGTGTTCTGTTTGATTCTCTGATCTGTGTTGGCGAGTCGACAACTCCTTCCAAGGCTTCAAGTTAACTACTGTTGTGATTTAGA